CAACATGGCTGTTGCCGGGTTTCTCTCTGGGTTCCTTTGTTTTCCGGGGCGCCCACTGTTTTTTGAAATGCTACAGAAAGTGCTTGAGTATGTTTCTGGTTCTAAGCACTAGAGCTTTAAAAACAAAACAAAAACAATGGTGATGTCAACTACCTAGAGGTTCTATGCAGTCACTCTGATGTGAATATGAGAAGAACCCTCCCCCAGCCCCAGAAGCTTCTACTGCAGAGCCATGCAGACATGGCTGGGAACCACAGGCTTGGAGGAGAAGGTGATTTCTGGCTTCAGATGGGTTCCTTGGGCTACTAATGAATTTAGATAACAAACATTTCTAACCTCCACATGGATTACCAGTAGTCAAATAGCGTAGGACAGGGAGACACATAGCTGCCTACTTTAGCTTGTATTTAACTGTTCTGAAATGAGTTCAGAAGCATGTTAATTATGCTCTTTGTTATTTATGACCTGGCCAGCGGGGCTGGTCACTGTTTTGAAGGTGCCATGGGGCTTAGGTGGGTGAATGGCATCTCCACGGACCCAGAGGGTGAGGTTTTCGGGGGCTGGGGCCGGATGATGGTGCGAGTGTTTGGTGAAGAGAGGATCCCATAGATTCTCTGGTGTTCTGCTCCCCAGGCACCATTTTGTTTCTTTGCTTTCCCCTCCTTCCTCCAGAAAGAAAGGACCAAAGATACAGGGAGGAGGTGCTTGGGGAGAGGAAAGGAGAGTGCAGAGCCAGACAGTGAGTTGACTTGGGACTAGAATCTCTGCTTTAAGGCTCCACTTGAGCAGGCAGGGACTGCATTGGCCAGCAAGCCCCGAGAGTCCTGCTGCTGTGAAAGCTCTGGTTTTGGTCACTGACTCCCAGCCCTAGTGGGAAGGTTGGAGGGGAGGAATCTGTGGGCTGCTGCCATTGTCTTCCCCTGTCACATGGCCAACACACCCCTTGGTGACTGTGCTGAATGCTGGGCGGCCTTGTTTTATTACAGCGCTTGGGCAGGGGGTACTGACTCTTTGTGAAGTGACTGAAGGTGGCAGTCAACAGGCAGCCTCCTCCTCTCATCCAGGGATAAGATTGAGGTGTTGGCCATCATTGCCATAGCAATGGACACGTGTTCTCTGGGGTGCTGTGACATCACAAATGGAAGCTGTTGGTGGGAAGGTAAAGCTTGCCTGTAGGAGGGAAATGGACCTTGTAAGTTGCCCGGGCGGCTTGTTGTATGTTTCACCGGTGTATACATACTTAGGCCCCTGCTCCTTTCCAGAGGCTGGGTGTTCAAGGGTTTCCCAGCCACGAGCAATGCACACCATCTCTGTTGCATTTCTTAGTGTGATGAGCGTGTTTGGCATAGGTTTGTGTCGATGGGATGTATCTGTGTCACATTTTGGCCCTGGTGTTCACCAAAGGCACTCTCAGGCTTTTTAATTTGCTCTTGTTTAGCCAAATCAGAGTTGAGTTGATAATGCCTGAAAATTCCAACCAGGAGGGTACAGCTGCAAACTTTATAAACGCCCTGTGGGGCCATCCTGGTACTTGGTCTCATTTGTCTGTGCTGGGTTGGCTTTACTGTTGTGGTTTTTGGGGTCTTTCTGTAAGCCCTGTGCAAACCATGTGTGGACCTCAGGCTCCTTTGCTGCTTATCTCTGGTCTCAGGATTCACTCTGTCTTTAATTAAAATTTTAATCCTCCTGCCAAACTAACTCATTTCACAAGGAGCATTTTAAAACCAGATCCTTGATCCCTGAGCAGCTACACTAGAATTGCCAGCTTAGTCTGTAAAGATCTCTGGGCATTATTTGCTTGGAAGCTTTGTGGGGCCCATGGTGGACCAACCATAAGCTTTTGCCACTCCGTCTCCATGGGCCAAGGAGACAAAACAGGGCAGAGACTGGTCACTGCAGCAGGAGGCTAGAGCATATGGGGCCTGTGTAGAGCTGTCGTGCTGGGCTGAGAGAACCTGGCTTTCCAGCCGGCAAGGGCTGGCGCACCTGCTGGGCCATCCTGTCTTCTTTAGCATTTTATAACACTTTGTGCTTTCTTCTGTCACTGTGCTGTCTTTACTCCAACTACCAGAAAAACAACTGGGTTTTTTTTTTGCTTTCCTGCGCCCATCAGGTAAAGTGTAGTGCAGGTGCATCCCTGGTCTCCATGGGATGCTCTTGACCTTGATGGGTGCCATAACCTGGTGAAAAAAGCACATTTGCTCTAAAGCAGTGGTCTCAACCTTCCTAATGCCGAGACCCTTTAGTACAGTTCCTCACATTGTGATGACCGTGCCCCCCCCAACCATAAAATTATTTTTGTGGCTACTTAATAACTGTCATTTTGCAACTATTACGAATCGAGTGACCTCTTGTGAAAGGGTCATTTGACCCCCATAGGGGTCAGGACACACAGGTTGAGAACTGCTGCTCTAAAGTCAACTACACCAACCCTTGGCTATACTGCCTTCTAGCTTGAATCTGAATTTATATATATTTATTTTCCAACAGTTTTAGTAGTAGATAATATACATAATTTACATATCCTAGAATCAAATAGTTCGATCATTAATTTATGTATATTTCATATCTGACCCCCAAATCACCCAGTGAAGCCATCATCAGAGGGACTTGGGGAACTCCGTGACTTAGGAAAGTGGGGACTGCTAATGGGGGAGGAGGAGGGTGTGTGTGTCCTGTTTTCCGTGCAGAAGAGCTAGTTGTCATTTCTGTGTGACCAATCAGGTCTTGACAGTGATCACAGCCAGAACAGCACTGAAAAGAGCAGACTATGTCAGATGTATGGTACTGTCCCATGGGATACCCACCCTGGAGTTGGAGATGACTGACTCTTTAGAGTGGAACTGCACCCTAGGGTCTCCAAGGCTGTGCAGAGAGCCTCATTTTTCTCCCGGGGAGTGGCTGGTGAGCTGGAACCACCAATCTTGCCACGAGTCTCCTGGTGCGTAACCTGATGTCCACCAGCACACAAAGCTGAAACTCACTGCCTTCAACTCTGCCAAGTCATAGTGACCCTATAGGACAGGGTAGAACATGCCCCTGTGTGTTTCCATGACTAAGTCTTTACAGTGGGTAGAAAGCACGCCCAGTCTTTCTCCCTCAGAGCAGGCTGGTGGTTTCAGACTTCAGACCTTGCAGTTGGCAGCCCAATACATACGTATGATGTCACCAGGGCTCCCACTATCTTCCACAGAGCCTCCAGAGGTTCTTGTGCATCTCCTGTTTCTGTGTTTGTATACAACGGGAATTATATACTCTTAACCTGACGCACTCTTGCCCTTTCTATGGTAAAGATTACATGACACATGGTTGTGACTCGTGCGCCCTCGCACGCGTGCGTTCGTGCACACAGCAGCCTGGCTGGTGGGTATGTGCTGTTTTCCATTAGGATGCACCACAATTAACATAAGCCTTTGGGGAGTTTTTCTTCTTAATACATTTGCATGATGATTTGTTACAGCTTTGAAAGGAGGGGTAATTTCAAGCCCTTGATTTTTAGCACTTCCTGTCCCCCCTCCCCCCAAGTTAAAGCACTCACGAAAAGACTTGGTCTTCCTCTTTACTGCGCATACGCTTGTGTCCACTTGCCCCATTTCGAGGACCTGAAGCCGTGTGTGTGATTTGGGCGGGAGGGGACCAGCCCCAAAGTCTGTCTGGCTTTAAAAGTAACTGTCCAGCAGAGGAGTGTCAGTATGGAGCTCCGTTTGGGTGGCAATGTTTAACTTTTGGTTTCCAGCATTTCTAAAGTGTTAAAGATCCCTAAGGAGGGGGAAAGCTTGCCTTTCCATGTCCTCTGGAAGTGCTTGTGGGCTTTTATGAAGTAATCTGATAGTTCAGGATTTGGGAGGCTGCCTGGAGGGGGTTGGCGAGTAGGGCTGCTGTCCTTGGTGCTGAATCAAACCTCTTACCCAGGTCCTTCTGCAGAAAGATGTGCACAAGGCCCCCAAGTTTTTTCCAACACTGCTCCGGTTTGTGCTGGGGGTCAGCCTAAGGGACAGAGAGGAAGAAGAGGAGGGGTTGTGCAGTATGTGTGGCCTTTTTGTCCATTGCTTGGAGTCTGTTACTATTTAAACTTCCACAGACCTTCCTTTTTAGTTGATGGACTCCTATCAGTGAAAGATCAGATTACATTATGATGATTACAAAAATGTTCACTCACATGAGCATTGTTGAGAATGGACCTAGCAAACCAGGCCACTTCAACTGTGTCTACAGGTGCATTCTCAGAGGCATGGATGCCATCCTCACCCTCCTTTCTGGGTGGGCCTTCCTGCACCCACTTACTGCTGTAGGAGGCTCCTTTCTCAGTCTCAGAGTGGCTGTTGACCCTGATCCCATATAGATAGATGCTCAGGGCAGGCTCTTCCTAGCTCAGTGAGACCTGAGCTTGGTTTGAAGAAGACCTTAGGACTGTGTGTACCCAGTTTAAGGTTCACAAATGGTCTGGGGACAGCAGTGCCTACATGGTTGTATGCTCTGCTTTTACTGTCCAGTAATTGTCAGGTGACACTGTGATATGAGACAAGGTACTGGTTGTGTACAATGTTTGCTTCTAATTGCCACTATGTTGTATCTGCTTAGTAACTCTGCCGAATAAGACTTTCTCTCACTTCAGGATTTTAATGTGTAGGGAAACCAGTTACCAGATGGTGATTTGAAATCTCGACCTCCAAGTCAATTTATAAAGGTTCTAAAATCTAAGAGTGTTAAGAAAGTCATGGTAGAATGAGAGTGATTTTAAAATACTGCAGATAGCACTGGGTTCAGATTCTACATGGCACTTGAGAGCGACTAAAACAAGCCTCTCACCAACCTTTTGGGTGACTAGATTAGGTGTTTTTTATTTTTAGTACATTTTATTTTTAGTTATTATTTATAGGTACAAGGTGAATGTCTTAGAGATTGGAAATGGCCTCACTTCGTATGTAGATGATGTTGTTTATTTAATCCAAGTCACAAAAGTAAAAACCATGAACTTTGTCTGTTTCCTCACCAGCTGGGGATACCGATGACCCCCCCAGGATTACCCAGAACCCTGTGATCAACGGGAATGTAGCCATGAGCGATGGCCACAACACCACCGAGGAGGACATGGAGGACGGTGAGTCGGCTGGTGCGGTTGCCAGGGGACACCCAGGGGTGCATGCATGCGTGTCCTCCAGGAGCCACAGCCGAGCTGTCTGAGGAACACTGACAAGCTTTTGATGACAGAGTCCAGGATAAGCTGTTTCCTGGCCATCCTGGGAAGGAAGATTTGAACACAGGAGGTTGTAATAGTTCTCCCACCTGGACTTGGCAGTTCACAGCCACTGTTGCTGGCCGCTAGGTCTGTCTCCCTCACTGCCTTTTTCTGTTTGCAACAAAATCCTCAAGACTTTGGACTTGTCAAGTGTAGCCGATGACCACTCTCCTCCTGTGGGGTGCGTCCAGAGCCCAGCCCCTCACTTTGTTCTCCCACCAGACATTGGAGACAGGCTGCTTCTGCTCGTTACAGTCACGGCTGCTTTGTGCCTGGAAGTGGGTGTGCCTTTGTTGGGCGCTCCTACATGGAAAGGCTTACCATAGGAGAAGACAGCGGTCTCCCCCAGCCCATTCTTCCTGGTTTGGAATTAAAGCTGCTTTGTGCTAAAGGGTCGAGAGCCCTGGTGGCGTAGTGGTTATGCTTTGTGCTGCTAAGTGCAAACTCGGCAGTTTGAAGCCAGCAGCCCGTTTGCTGGGGAAAAGACACAAGCGTTCTGGATGCTAGAAAGCGCGAGGAGTGCTTGGTTGAGGGCGGTTCCCTGTCAAAGAACTTCTTAGGGCCTTCCCTGTGCTGACATACGCCGTTCTCCTCGGGCCGGGGCACAGAAGCTCGTACACCCTCTCACATTGGGACAGCGCTGGGCTGGCACTGTCTCGCACCATTGACTGGGCTAGAGGGACAGGCCCACCCTCTTGGTCAGGGAAATTGGGATGGAGTAGGATGATGGGGGTGGAACCCATTCAGCACAACACAACACAGAAGGAAAACGGAATTACTGCCCAGCGGCTCTGGCTGAGGTGAGACCCAGAGTTTGTGAGTCACCATGCCGGTTACCCGTACTGGGGGGTAGTAGTGTTTGCACAGACTTGTGTGGAAGTTACTGCATGAGAGCCAGTGGGGGAAGTGTAGCACCAGCCCCAAGTGTGGCATCCTCCTGTTTGCCTCATGTCGTTGGAGCCCTGGCTGGGACACGGTCCTCTCCCTGGGGAAATGAGGTTGGTGTTAGAGCCAAGAGTGCACTGGGCTAGCCAGGTGCGTGACGAGCGTGTCGGCCATGAAGTCAGCGCTGTTAGTGCTGTATGTTTGAGAGTCTCGGGGTCTGTGGGGGGGGGGAGTCCTTGATAATTGCCAGCGCTCTTGCTTGGGACTCTCTCCTGACTTGCCCTTTAACCTTACATAAACATGCCATCACTTTGAGGCCATTGGATCAGCATGTATTACTCCCATTTCGAATACATTTCTTCACACCTACACTTGCTGGCACGAGCTCTCAGCCTCCTCTTGCCCTGAAGCCTGCACCCGGTTCTCCTCACCCACAAACCCAACACACTCAGGACTAGGTCCCCTTTGTGTCCCAAGGCAGCTGCAGACCAGTCCTTAAGAATGCTGGGCACCACTTGCACATGTTCTTGACCAAAGACCTCCACCGGTCAGGTTGCAGGAACTCCTCACAGGAGGAGGTGTGCAGACCTGCTCTGCCGGAGACAGGCGTCACGTCTGCGTTTGGTTTGGTTGGCTTGTTCCTGAACGGGGCTTCCTGTCTTGACCTGTCACTTGGTGATGCGGTATTGGAGGGTGGGAGTTGGGTGGCGGTGGTCCCGGTGAGGCTGTGGGTGGAGAGAGGTCTTGGGAAGCACGGGGAAGAAGGACATTCTGTGCATGTGGACGGCAAGTGTTGGGTGCTTGGTCACTTGTGGCCTGTGAACGAAGCTCACGGAGCAGCCACTTGACTTCAGTGGTTGTGTGTCATCGTCCCCATCCCCCTTGGGCAACAAAAACTGCCTGGCAGGTGAGCGGCAGTCCTAAATGCTTCTCCCTGTCATTTTGGATGTCGCCTTACCTTGAACCTGTCTCCTGCCCTCTTGGAGGTCTTTAATCACCCCCAGGGGGCTACTCGCAGCCCGGGAGAGACTCCTGTCAGTTTCTGGCTCTCCTTCCTTCTGAGTAAAAATATTTGGGGTAAATGTATTTTTTTTAAAAGGTACAAGTGACAGCGATGTGCACTTTCCATTCCAACTGTTTGGACAAAGCCCCTTCCCTCTCCTGAGGACTGTTGGGTGTGTTTGCTTTAAGTCCCTGTCTCCCTCTGGAGCCTTCTTGAGGGCAGTGGGCCTGCTGGCTGATTCGTGCACCGAGCCAGGAGCCCTGGTGAGGGAGGAGGGTCCACAGGCAAATGCTCATTCCCACATTGACAGGCTGACACCTCCTGCTTCCAGGCTGTCCACGTGCTGGGCCTACTCATTTTCCCAAGAGCTGGGTTCTCCAGAAACTGGCTGGTGGGCATGTGTCACTGTAGCCCCCCTCCCCCGGTTGAGTGCACCCTGTTCTCCTTGCAGACACCAGCTGGCGCTCGGAGGCCACTTTCCAGTTCACGGTGGAACGCTTCAGCCGACTTAGCGAGTCGGTCCTGAGCCCACCGTGCTTTGTGCGGAACCTGCCCTGGAAGATCATGGTGATGCCGCGCTTCTACCCTGACCGGCCCCATCAGAAGAGCGTCGGCTTCTTTCTACAGTGCAATGCCGAGTCAGACTCCACGTAAGCTACGGGCACGAGGGATGCTCACAGAGCTCTTCCAAGTCCCATTGGGATTAAGTTGTTAAAATGGTGTAGGTTTCCAAACCTGTACATCTCTGCATCACCGGTCATATGACCGACACACGGAAAGGACAACGAGTGCTCGCTTCGGCAGCACATGTACTGAAATTGGAAAGGACACGAATGCATGGTTGGTGCTGAAACTATAACACGAGTTCTGATAGCTTTCCCCCCGTGGAGCCCCGGTGCTGTAGTGGTCACACATTGGGCTGTGTGTTAGGCTGGGTTAACTGGAGAAACCATTCCATAGATACTTATGTATGTGTAAGGAAGAGCTTTATATATCAGAAAAACAGCCCAGCCCAGCCAAACTCAAGTCTACACGTCCCAGATTCACGATGCAGAATGCAGGAACATCACAGGGCAGTGGGCGGCAAGCCTTCTGTATTTCATGGAGGTGGGCGCATCTCTAGGGCTTTTCTAGTGGGTCCCAGCGTCGTGGCTCTCCAGCAAGAAAGTGAAGGCTGAGAGAGAAGGGGCAGGAGGGAGGTTCCCAGGACCCTCCTTATGTGAAGGTCACGCCCCCAAGGAGGTATCATCAGCCTCTGACCTGATTGACAGGCTAAACTCCACCTCTACTTTTATATCTTTGAATTGACATGAAATTATGTAACTATCACAGGCTTCCATCCATAGGTCCACAGTTCAAAACCATCAGGCAAAAAAAAACAAACAACAAACCATCAGGCAGTCCAAGGGAGAAAGACAGGCTTTCTGTTCCCTTTAAGAATGATCAGTCTCAGGAACTCACAGGGTTGGTTTGAGCATCCTGTCGGGTCACAGTCCGTGTGGAGTTGTTGAAGAAGCAGAAGTGTGACAGGCGTGGTGTGAGTGTGTTGCCTGAGTGGAGCTCGCTGACTTCTCGGCAGGTCGTGGTCTTGCCATGCACAAGCCGTGCTGAAGATCATAAACTACCGAGATGATGAGAAGTCCTTCAGCCGCCGCATCAGCCACCTGTTCTTCCATAAAGAAAACGACTGGGGATTTTCCAACTTCATGGCCTGGAGTGTAAGCACAGTTCACTTGGTCTGAGCATGGGGCTCATCGCTCTCCTCCAGCTCTTTCTGCCCCTCACTCCCTCCAGGGACCCTGGTGGCATAGTGGCTTATGCTTTGAGCTGCTCCTCAGGAGGAAGAGGAGACTTTCTGCAGGGTCACTCCAAGTTGGGTTTGGTTGAGACGTCCCTGCAGGTTGTCGCTTTCCTGGTGAACAAAGTCGCCTCCAGGAACTATGGTCCCTAGCAGGCCCGCCCCAGGCCTTACGTGGCAGTGTCCCTGAACTAGGTTTCCAGTGGGGCATTTGAAGTCGGATGGCAGAAACATGCAGAATGTTCGTAGGGGTGTTTGCTAAGCTGGCTAGCCAGACTCCCATCCTGTCTGTCGTGTGGCCGGCCCCCACCCCGCTGTGCACACACGTGGTCGGCACAGCTGCACCTTGGAGTTCCTGACTACTAGAGCCTTGCTTTCTCTGACCCCTGATTTGGTTCAGAGAGCTGGGGTGACTTCTCAGGGGATGGACCCCTGTGTTGGGGGAGAGGGGTGAGTGAGCGCTGCTCCCTTTAATTTGGGTACCATGCTTTCTCTTTGTAGGAAGTCACTGACCCCGAGAAAGGATTTCTTGATGACGACAAAGTCACCTTCGAGGTCTTCGTGCAGGCAGATGCCCCCCACGGAGTTGCGTGAGTCCCCGTCACTGGACAGCTGTGATAATCTTGCTTGGGCTGCCGGCAGCCACTCTTCGAAGGCGGCCTGTAGGAAGGGAGCAGAGAGTGAAGGGCAGACAAGGGGCCTGCATCGTGTTTAGTGGTCAAGAAGAATCCCACAGAGCCAAAGGGGGTCTCGCCTTACTGCAGGGACAGATGGGTATCTCATTCACTGCTGCCCATGTGAACAGGCTAGACAATTCTTGGGTTTTAAGAGGGCACTGTAGAGTGTCTAAGATCTCTCTACTGTGGTCCTAAGGAAAGAGCTGCTGCCGGGCTCTCTCAAGTCAGGATGTGACCCATCTGCACCCAGAGTGGCTCCTCCGATTGGGGCACAGGTTGTGCTTTCTGGTTGCCATGGGGGAGGCACATTCCAGACAGGGAAGACTCAGCCAGCCAGCCAGCCACTCCAGTATGTGGACAATGTTCCCATCGTGTGAGCCAGCATGCATGCACGTGTGGTGGGGGTGGTGCACTGTGGGGCTGGGCTGTCCTGATGGCATAGTCCTGCCCCCCCACCAGCTCACACTTGGAGCATTTTTTTGAGAACTTGGGCTGTGTCAGCCAGGGAGCCATTGAACCCTGTCCTTGAATTCCTCAGTTCTTTCCTGGAATCCCCATTAGATGTTAGCTTTCGTCATCACTGATGGATATCTGTCTGAGAACAGGAGTCAGAGAACCGCTCAGGGTGGCACTTTTGAGCCCAAGCTTGGGCTGTGTTAGTGAGAACAGTTTGAGGGTTTTGTTAAGTTTATTCCCAGTCAAAGAGTTTCCAGGTTTGGCCTTTTCAGGATCAACTCACCATTTATTACATGAGCTGGTTTTATGGTTACTTCAGCTTTTAAAATCAAGGGAGTCTGATGTTTATAATTCTTCCCTGTATCTTTAGTATCTGCACCCTGAGTATCACACACTTTCTTGCTCTCGCTCTTGCTCTCTCTAACTCGCTCACTCACTCACTTCACCCCTGGGCCGGCAGTTGACCTCTGGCTTCCTGTCTGTCTTGTAGGTGGGACTCCAAGAAGCACACAGGCTATGTTGGGCTAAAGAACCAGGGGGCTACTTGCTACATGAACAGCCTGCTGCAGACTTTGTTTTTCACAAACCAACTACGAAAGGTATGTGGGGGGGGGGGGTCTCCCCTCGTACTCTGCCCTTGTTCAGGTGCCTTCAAGGGTAGGCAGGGCTTGCCCCCTCCCTGGACCACCATGTGATGCCCTTTACTCGTACCCCCCACGGTCCATCTGCCACCTGTGAATGGTCATGTGGTACTGCGGCCCACATAATTTGAGAACTGTACCTTGGATGACTAAAGCACACGTATTTTAAGACAAAAGCCATGTAGTTTGACATGGTCTGCTAATTGAGAAATGACCAGCTACAAAGTCTGATGATCCCTGCTTGCAGATACTACTAGTTTAATGTAAATGTTCACTGTCACACCCTGGGCTTCATGCGGGATAAATAGTCCCCTGTGTTTCCAGAGCTTCCTCCTGAAGGGCATAGACCAGGGGGTGGTCATTAGTTAGGGCAATAGTATCTTGTCTTGCCTGTCGCTAATGACAGAGATGGCTGGTTGGGGGTCACTTTAGCTGCTTGGTACTTTTTCTTAGCTCTGTTTGCAAGTCAGGGCAAGCAGAAAGCCTCTGCTTTTACATAATGGAGGCCCCTGGCTTTGTGTGATAAGTTATAGGTCATTTTAAACAGCTTGCTTATTCTAATTGCATCTAAGGATTTCCATGATTTATTTGCTTGGAGTTGGAAGGCCTGGCAGTTGCCAATGTGCTCTCGGAAACTGTCTGCTTAAAACGAGACTTGTTCTGTCTTTCTTTCAACCCGTTTAGGCAGTGTACATGATGCCGACCGAGGGTGACGATTCTTCAAAAAGTGTCCCGTTGGCCTTGCAGAGAGTGTTCTATGAACTTCAGCACAGTGACAAACCTGTGGGAACCAAAAAGCTCACCAAGTCCTTTGGGTGCGTTGGCACCGCCTTCCCGCGTGGCCTGTGGGCACTTACGGCAGGGCTCTGCCCCATGAGAGACTGCAGGGCCTTTCTAGCCTCGGGAGAGGGCAGCTGTGTTTAGAGTGGTGCTTCTGAAACCGTCTTGGGCTCCAGGTGGTCAAGGCAGCATGTGCAATGTGCAGTCTTCAAATCTGTACACTAAGAATGTGCTTGCAGCCCTCCTCCACACCGGGATTTCCAGATATCGCCCCTCCCCCACTGCCAACCAGGCCCTTTTGGAGTAAGCTGGTGCACCTGCCGCCCACTGAGTTGGCCTGGCTTCCTGTAGAGCAGAGCAGAGCAGAGCAGACCTGTCCTGGAGTCAGCCTCGCTGTCATCCTCCCAAAGCCTTTGCGGACTGCATCAGAGGGGCTGTAGACCTTTCTGTTCACAGCCACTCACCCCAACCGCTGCACCACCAGCATGCCTTTGAATTGCGAGACCCCTGCCCATGGGTCCCCGGTGTGCAGCATGCATCTTCTCTTGCAGGTGGGAGACACTGGACAGTTTCATGCAGCATGACGTGCAGGAGCTGTGCCGAGTGGTAAGTGCGCCCATGAGGACCTTGATCTGAGCTTGGCCCTCTGGCTCCCACCAGTCCACTGCAGCCCACACACCCAGGCCAGGCTAGAGAGATCAGCCTCCAGCTAGTGTAAATGCCCCGCAAAGCCACCCTCTGGCTGAGCACCAGGACAGCGTGTCCAGGAGGCTCTTTTCAGAGCTGTAGTGCATCGGCTTAGGCAGCTGTCAGCTCTCCTTGATCGATGGCTGTCTGTCACCTCCATGTTATCCTTTGCTTTGTCACTGGGGCCAGCCTCTCCTTTCACCACCAGATCTTTGTCCCTTCAGGAAGGCGCATGCACACGCACACACGCACGCACACATACACACATGAACAATGATTGTTCAAGGTGATTGGCTGGGCAAGGTGTGTTTTCTTTTTTGCAGCACTAGCTGGATTGAATCCAGTTCATTAAATATCCATGGACAAACCAGTCAATCCTGTTGACAGGCTCAACCTCATTAATCTCTTGGTGTGGACCATTACGAGTTAAGTTTAGAGCTCAATTTACACGATTTTCCACCGAGGTAAAATGAATATATAAAATGCTTCTAAAGGCACTACAGATTACTAATTCAACCCCAAGACTGTAAAGGGCGTAATCTCAACCAGTGCATGTAGATTTTTAAAAATCTATGTATATATGTAGTTTTATAAATACCCAAGCTAGGAAGAAGGATTTTTTAATACGTTTTCAGTAATTGCATGCCAAGAGCCATGTTTTTAGTTTAGAATTCTTTGGCCAGTGAAATCTCGTCGCATTTCGAATTAGACTGTTTTCAAAGTGACTGGGTTCGTTGGATACCTTGTTTCTAAGTGCGCACTTTCTCTTGTAGCTACTTGACAACGTGGAGAATAAGATGAAGGGCACGTGCGTGGAAGGCACCATTCCCAAGTTATTCAGAGGCAAAATGGTGGTACGTGCTGGCCGGTGTCAGAGAAGGCTTGCTCCCAGGCTAGAATGCTGTGTGTGTACACTTAGTCCTTCCGTCTTCCCTTCCTTGCAGTCGTACATCCAGTGTAAAGAAGTAGACTACCGATCTGATAGAAGAGAAGATTATTATGACATCCAGCTCAGTATCAAAGGAAAGAAAAACAGTAAGTTTCAGGCATCTGACAGTGTGAGCTTCAGACCATTTTGACTTTGGTTCCTCATTCCTAATTTGTTCAAATTCAACCCATCCATCTTGGATCTCAAGATATATCTGCCTGTCTTGAAATCATGTTCTGGTACATTCTGGAACCTATAATTTTGTCCAAGACATGGCTTGGAAACGCTTTGTGGGAGGTCTCAGTGCTCTACCCACACTCCTCTGAGAGCCATGCTGACCTGCATGCAGGCCACTCTGTGGCGTGGTCTCTTCCTGAGTGCCATCTCCACATAGTCGTAGTCAGATTGTAGCCTTGAAATAAGCGATTGGATTAAGTCCGCTCTCTATGGTCACCTGAGTTACTGAAACCCCAAGGTCTCCCCATCTGGCACCTTAAGGCACGTGCGTCCTTTGCACACCGGTTGTTGGCTGTGGGAGGGGTGGTCCTGGCCCAAAGCTGCCGTATCAGCCGCGGGGAATGTACATCCCGCACTCACTGACCCATCATTAGGGAGCTCGTGGGGAGATCCAACTGTTTTCACTCACCCCCACCCCCACCCCCACCATGGATCTTATGCCTGGGGCAGGGAGGCCGGGCTCAGGTTCTGTGACACACACTCTCTCTCACCTCTCCCTCCCGCTCAGTCTTTGAATCATTTGTGGACTACGTGGCAGTGGAACAGCTCGACGGTGACAATAAATACGACGCCGGGGAGCATGGCTTACAGGTAACTGGCTCCAGGATGTCATGCCCACTTCTTCCTGCCTGCCTGAGGCATGGCCATGAAGTGTGACTGGCCAGACCAAGCACTCGGGACTCCACTGGAGAACCAGAGAGCTCCACTAAAAGCAGGCTTAGGACGGAACACCCCCTACTTAGTGCAAGAACTGGGGCGGGGCCGCCGGCAGGTTTTTAATAAGGTGCTTTTCCCATCTGTGCCATCCTCAAAGTGGGAATCTTGTGTCCAAAGCAGGCTGTTTCTAGTTTCTTGCTCTTTCCCTTGATGGCTTCTCAGAGCTTCTCCATGTTCATGTTTTTGTGCTGCCTTGGTTTCCCCGTGCTGGGCGCTGAGCTGGCACATAGCCTCGCCTGCACCCCGTGGCTATGTTAAACAGCAAAGAAGTAGGCTCCTGACCCTTGCTGAGAGAGGGAGCTGAGCTGAACTGACTGGAGTTTTTCCCACCTCCAGGAAGCTGAGAAAGGTGTGAAATTCCTAACCCTGCCACCAGTGTTACATCTGCAGCTGATGAGGTTTATGTACGACCCTCAGACGGACCAGAACATCAAGATCAACGACAGGTGAGCTCCAGCCCCGCTGCTCCCTCTGCTGGTGCGCTGTAGGTGTTCAGCCTGGTCTCCCTCCACCCGGGCGCCACCTCAGGCCCACTCTGCTGTGCCAATTCAAGTCTGAGGGGAGGGTTCTTCAACTTCTCAAGCGGTGGCATTCACCACAATGTTTAGCACCTCTGTCCTTGGCCACAAGCTAGTTCTCGCTGCACATAGGGACTTTTGTTGGAATCGGATTCTCTGAACACATTGTCTTCCCCACCTTCAAACAAGCCTCACACCAAATCCATTGCCATCAAGTCGATTCCCAACGCACAGCAACTCCCTTGGAGAGAGCAGGACTCCTCCCTCGGGCAACCAGCCTCATCCCCCGAAGCGGCACATGGAGCACTGGGGGTCCCTTGGCTCTTCCAGCCTCATTGCTGTGGGCCCGGTGTAGCATGTGCCAGAATCTAAGCACTGCAGTCGGGGGGTAGGTCTTTCCCGGGTCTCCAAATGCCAGTGTTAACTTATACTGTGCTGTCTGGTCGGGGACCTGGACTTTTTATACCTGTGGGTGAGCAGTTCCCGTGAGGACAGCCAAGGACCGTGGGCGACCTGCTGGCAAGTTTGGTTGTAGCCCCGCCTTGATTTTTTTTTTTTTTTGCCCCGCCTTGATCTTCTAGAGAGACTGCCCAGAGAGTAAGGGCTCTGCCCAAAATCAGACCTGTGGCCTCAGTCCTTATCAGTCTGTCCATCCCTCCCTGACCCAGACATGGTCATAGCAGGCCCAGTGCAGGGCTGGCTGATGCGGAGTGCTTGGAGCTATAGCTGTTTGACCACATCACTGCAATGCTTCATGGGCATTTGTGTTGGAATCTAGCTTCCAAGGGCCCATGAAGCTGGCGTTTGCCCTGATAAGTGGGTGTTACCCTCCAGCTGTAACCCAGATGGCCTTCCAAGTTGAATTCTTTGCCCAAAAAGGAACAGCCCGGAGGCTGGTGAGGGGGCCAGCACCTTGGAGCACTGCCTCACTGGGAATGTTCTTGAACAGGTTTGAGTTCCCTGAACAGTTACCGCTGGATGAATTTTTGCAAAAAAACGACCCCAAGGACCCTGCCAACTACGTGCTACATGCAGTTCTGGTTCACAGCGGCGACAACCATGGCGGGCACTACGTGGTTTATCTCAACCCCAAAGGGGACGGCAAAGTAAGTGCAGGCTCTGGGGGGCACTAGGGGAGCCTGTAGCCAGACCCCCGCCCTGTCCTGGCTTCCTGCTGGCTTGCAGCCCGGAAGCCTCTCTCTGTTCCCCAGCTGCTGAAATGTAAGCAGTGTGTATGTTAGGTTCATTCTCCCGTCGTGACAGCAGCTTCCACAGCTACCCCGGTCTGCTGGGCTCTGGTGAATGCCAGGCCTTTTTGAGACCCCTCTAGGAGGCTCCAGCCTCGCTGTCCGTGTGCACTGCCTGTCTAGTCGGAAGCACAAGGAGAAGCCAAGTGATGTCCCTGTGACGTGTGCGGTGTGGGCTACCAACCCTCTTTATCTCTCATCTCCCACGGCCTCTGCGTCTTCTCTCTGACCTTAAAAGTGAGGGGTGTCCTGCTTGCTCTGCCTACAAGGGTGGAGCCCAGGAGCACAGAGCTAGATCAGGCTACCACCGGAAATGGCCTGATGGAAGGAAGCCGCTGCACAGCAAGCCGTGCTGGCTTTGTTGTTTCCAAATTGCTGGCTTGCTCAAAGTGGGCTCTCCTGCAGTGGTGCAAGTTCGACGACGACGTGGTGTCTCGGTGCACAAAGGAGGAGGCCATCGAGCACAACTACGGGGGCCATGACGACGACCTGTCTGTGCGGCACTGCACTAACGCCTACATGTTAGTTTATATCAGGGAGTCCAAGCTGAGTGAGTACACTCCTCCCACCCCCTCCCCCCACCCCCCGTCCTGCACACACACTGCCACGGGGGAGAGAAGTGGCCACCTGGGGAGCCATGCAGGACAGTTCTACTCTGCTGCAGCTCTGCCCTGAGCCAGGGAAGGGCAGTGGGTGGGCTGCGCACGCAGTGAGCGGCCGTGCTTGTCCGTCCGCCAGGTGAAGTCCTGCAGGCGGTCACCGACCACGACATCCCGCAGCAGCTGGTGGAGCGGTTGCAGGAGGAGAAGAGGATCGAGGCACAGAAGCGGAAGGAGCGGCAAGAAGCCCATTTGTACATGCAAGTGCAGGTTAGCCACCAGGGGTCAATGTGCTGGGGGCTCCAGGAGTGTGTGTGTGTCCGTGGGCTGGAGGCAGGGGGCCTTGTAGGACAGCCACTAGGAATGGAGAAGTGCAGATGGTGGTGGATTGCTCAGTAAGGCAGGGCTAGCCGAGTCACGGCCCTACAGTAACCGTAGCCAGTTCAGGGACCGCACTGACACCCGTCCGGGGTGGTCAGCCCCCATGGGTGGCCAGGGCCTACTCTCAGGCCAGTTTAGGGTTTACTCAGGACCACTTGGGCCCCAGGCTGAGCTCGGCATGGGGGGAGGGCAGAATAGAGAGCACAGGATGCAGGCGAGGGGATACAGCTAGGCAGAGCAGGGCCATGTCCCAGGACCTGTGGTTCCTGGCCCTGGATGCCTGACTTCCTGCCTGTTCAGGTTTTCGGGGCCCAGCTGTCAGCAGTCCCAGGTGGGCACAAGATGGGGGCAGAAGGGGGTGCTTTGCATCATGTCTGGTCAATGAGGGCTGTCCTGTGCTTTTGTGCATGTCCCAGATAGTCGCCGAGGACCAGTTTTGTGGCCACCAGGGAAACGACATGTATGACGAGGAGAAGGTCAAGTACACTGTGTTCAAAGTGCTGAAAAACTCCTCGCTCTCCGAGTTCGTGCAGAACCTCTCCCAGACCATGGTGAGTCCCAGCCCCCCAAGTCTTACCTCTCTGCTTCAGAGCTAGAAAAGAGAAGGGCTAGCCCCTGTCCTGTGTGGAGCTGCGGGTCTGTTACCTAAGTTTTTAGTAAGCTCTGTACAGATGAATGTGAAGATTGGTCTGGTCTTTTGGGGAGTGGGCATAGCCCCGGAATTCCAGTTCTCTCAGATACTGGTGGACGGTTGTCTAAATCCAGGGAAAGCCGCCAACCTCCCCCCTCCCTTTATAATCACTAAACCATTGACTGCCCGGTGATGGAACCGAAACGGGACTTACCTGTTGCTTCATCTTTAAACCCAGGGGTATCCACAGGATCAAATCCGATTATGGCCCATGCAAGCAAGGAGTAATGGGACGAAGCGGCCGGCCATGTTGGACAACGAAGCCGACGGGAACAAGACGGTGCGTGTGGCCCTCTCCCCTTATGGGCAGGCCACCAAGGCCGGGGAAGTCTTCTAAACCTAGGGTCTCTCTGGCACCAGATGATCGAGCTCAGCGACAATGAGAACCCATGGACGATATTCCTGGAGACAGTGGACCCTGAGCTGGCGGCCAGCGGGGCGACCCTGCCCAAGTTTGATAAAGACCGTAAGTGCCTGAGGAGGCCTGGCCAGAACATGCCAAGCCCAGCTGGTTTTTCCTTCCCAGGAGTATCGCCCCCGCCCCCCATTTTAATTCCAGAAGTGCTGGAGGAAGACCTGGTGTCACGGCTTGCTTGGCCATGTGGTGGCATTTTTGCAATGCCGTGCTACAGCTGTCACAGACTCGGCTCCTGTCGTGGCCAGGAGCAGGCATCAGGTCCCCAGGGCCTGCAGGCTCCCGATTCTCTGGTGCAGAGGCCGCAGGGGGAGTTGCCGTATTGCTGCAGGGCTGACTGTAGAGGCACCGGGCCAGTGTTAGCCAGCACTCTGCCACAGCATCTCCGCCAGTGAGCCGCCGGGAGCCCGTCACAGGACACGCCCTTACACCACAGTTTTCGCCTTTGCTGGGCTGCTCAGCCCCGACTGACTGTCTTTTCACGCAGTCCTGCCTTTGAAGACCCCAAAGTGCTTCTTCCTTCCTTCCCCCTAGATGATGTGATGTTGTTTCTGAAGATGTACGACCCCAAAACACGGAGCTTGAACTACTGTGGACACATCTACACCCCAATATCCTGCAAGATCCGTATGTTCCCATCTCCCCCTCCCCCGTGCATCCAGACCTTCAGCCTGGCCTGGGGGGATTACACCTGTGGGTCCTGTCTCTTCTGCCTAGGTGACTTGCTCCCTGTGATGTGCGACAGAGCGGGGTTCATCCAGGATACTAGTCTTATCCTCTATGAGGTCAGCACGCTGGCTTTTCCTAATTCGGTGTCTTAAGTGGGGAGGGGCTGGCTTGTAAGCCAACACGCGAGGCAGGGGTGTCAAGGAGATCGGTAACATGTGCTTGGGGGTGACTGTCAGTAGCCAAGCCCCGGGTTCTTAGTGTGTCCTAACGTGTTCTCTTGTAGGAAGTTAAACCGAATTTAACAGAGAGAATTCAGGACTATGACGTGTCCCTTGATAAAGCCCTTGATGAGCTGATGGATGGTGACATCATCGTGTTCCAGAAGTACGTGGGAGCCTTGATTAAGCCCTGGGCTCTGCACACACCGATCTTCCTAGAGTCCGAGTTAGCACTGTCAGCCCTCGTGCCAAGGGCCTTCTCCGGGTTGGGATGGGCATTCGTGAATGTGGATTGGGGTCTGGAGAAGCGAGTTGTTCTTCCTTTCAAATGTATGTGACCCCTTCCAGTGGAGCTGCGTATGTGCTAACCGGAAGGGGTGGCGCCTCAGACCCAGCCGCTGGCCCACGGTCACTGTGAGTCCCTGCCCATGCGGACCCTGGCTCACCCCTGTGGTCCTGTCCCTAGGGATGACCCTGAGAACGACAACAGTGAGCTGCCCACAGCCAAGGAGTATTTCCGAGACCTCTACCACCGCGTCGATGTCATCTTCTGTGACAAGACGATCCCCAACGACCCGGGCTTCGTCGTCACCTTGTCCAATAGGATGAACTATTTTCAGGTGCGTGCTCCCGGCCCCCCCTCCTCCACCGTGGCTGCCGTCAGCAGACCTGCGCAGTGTGTGTGTCACAAACCCCCACTCTGGAAATGACACCATAATATCATCTGTGGGCCTCGCTTGAGTTTGGGGAAAAGCCTTTACAAGCCATCCGTGCCCAAAGTGGCCTCCCTGGGCCTCCTGAAGCTACGGGGGGCGGTTTGAAGACCCACACTCTGCTTTAGGGATGAGGCTAAGTGTGCAGCTGGTGGCTTGTTCTGCTATCCATGGACTGTGCTTCTTTCTGTAACCTGAGCTCTGCTGTCTCCCCCAGGTGGCAAAGACTGTCGCACAGAGGCTGAACACAGACCCCATGTTGCTTCAGTTTTTCAAGTCTCAAGGGTAAGCCCTGTTGCCATCCTTTTTGCCTCGCATCCCCTGCAGGCTGCCTTGGACTCCCCACCACGGATCTTTTGTCTCCTGCTAGTCCCTGCTTGGTCTCAGCCTCACGGTGGTCGCCACACCTGCCTGATGGTCCATCCTCACCCAGACATTCTGTAGAGACTTGTTGAATTTCCCCCCACACAGGGGGCACTGGGTTGCCAAGTCCAAGAAGCATTGTTACTGTGGAGCTCACCCAAGGGGCATGTGGGTCTCGGGAAGCAGGAGGCATCTCCTGGTGGGTCCCCACACCAGCCCCCAGTGGAGGCAGGATTATGTGTGTGTGTCTGTCTGTCTGTCTCGTGCGTGCACGGGGGCACCTACGTGGGTGCCCAGTGCACACTTCTTTATGTGCTATGTCCTTGTGTAGTTACAGAGATGGCCCCGGCAACCCTCTTAGACACAATTATGAAGGTACTCTAAGGGATCTTCTACAGTTCTTCAAGCCTAGACAACCTAAGAAACTTTACTATCAGCAGGTATGAGGTCTAAATTAACCCCGCTGGGGGCGAGGTGGCCAGCCCTCAGGTGCCCGAAGTCACAGGCCTCTCTTTCTGTCCCCCACCCTCACCAGTTGAAAATGAAAATCACAGACTTTGAAAACAGAAGAAGCTTCAAGTGTATATGGCTGAACAGCCAGTTTAGGGAGGAGGTGAGTGCAGCTGTTTATTGCTTGGTGCCGGGTTGTGCAGGGGGTCTGGCGGTGCCTTCCTGCCAGGCTGGGGGTGACATTCTGGGTCTGGGGCTTGGCATATGTCTACTGGGCAGAACACTGAGGGAGCCCAGAGGACATGGCCAGCCTACCTCACTGTGCCTTGTTTCTGGGCCCCGTCTGCTGCTAAGCCCCCTCCTGCCCTTCACAGCTCCACTTTGTGATTAGAAACCCTATGATCCTACTCCATGTGGTCCTGGGCGGTCAGTCTGTAGCTGTGTGGGCTCCAAGCTTTCCACTCTGGTACCTGGTCTGAGTTGGAGTCATGGAGGCTGATGGTACTAGGAACACCTCAACCCCTCCCCTAGATGGGCTGCCACCTCACTCTCTGTAGACAGCCGGGAGGGCTTCAGGGGGCCGGGCTACCCAGAAAAGCTGTCTGTTAAACCAGCTGTCCCTCAGAGTGACATTGCTTAATCTCTCCTGAGTTGTGCCCAGAGAGGGGCCTGTTGCCCTACCACGGGTGAAGTCCCACAGCAAGGGCACAATGCCGGGAGGAATGGGCTCCTATAAAACCCTCCGTGGGGCCAGGGCTTCTGAAGCAAAAGATGGGACGGGAAACGAGAGCCTTCCAGGTGAAATGGACGGAGGGGCCGGGGATAACGAAGGGCAACCCCCAAAGCAGCTGACCCCTCGAGTCATCAGATGTGGGCATGTTCCACAGATCTGAGTCTGTGGACTCGGCTCTTGCTCGTCCCCACGCTGCGGGCTGTGTGGCACGGGTGCACTGACTCTGGCTGTTGTCAGCAGGAAATAACACTATACCCAGACAAGCACGGCTGCGTCCGGGACCTGCTAGAAGAATGTAAAAAGTCCGTTGAGCTCGGGGACAAAGCATCAGGGAAACTCAGGCAAGTATGAGGGCAGCGGCACCCAGAGCACACCCACCGCGGCCCACCCGCCCGGGTGGCCAGGCCTTTCTCATTCCCCCGCCGGAGCTCACTTCCCCTGGCCCTCTTCTCCGTGTCCAGGCTGCTAGAGATTGTAAGCTACAAAATCATCGGTGTGCATCAAGAAGATGAACTATTAGAGTGTTTGTCCCCTGCAACGAGTCGGACGTTCCGGATAGAGGTGAGGCCTCTGGGGAGGCAGCCTGCTGTGCCAGCCCATGTCTGTGTCGTCTGAGGGTGACCACACTCAGGAATTGATTCTAAATACGGCCCCCAGGCGAGCCCGGGCAGGAACGGAGGGTGCCTGTGAGGCTGGGGTTCAGAGCTGGTGCTAGAATTAGATGTGAGACCTCTGACCTGTAAGACCCAGCATTCCCTTCTGTAAGGACCTGGGTGGACTGATGGGTTAACTGCAGGTCATTGGCTCAGATCCAGCTACCACTCTGAGGAGCAGAGACAAGGCTCTGTCTTCCAGGGGCAGGATTGACTTGGTGGCAGTGAGATTATTGCTGCTCCAAAGGCAGCTTGGTCCTGGCGGGGGGGCCTTCCCTCCTTCCGGGCAGACCCAAGCCTTGGCAATGGCCGCACCTAACAAACCTCCCTGGGCCCTGCATGTGTCTGCAGGAAATACCTCTGGACCAGGTGGATGTGGACAAGGAGAATGAGATGCTGATCACCGTGGCACACTTCCACAAGGAGGTGTTCGGAACGTTCGGGATCCCGTTCTTGCTCAGGATACACCAGGTAAGTAAGGTGGCTTGGGTGGCTGTCATTCCGAGCATCTCCTGTCAAAAGCTGAGGTCCGCCCCCCTCTGAGCAGTGGTGGCCGTGTGGGCCCAAGGACAGGACGGCCTGGCGGCCAAGTCCTATGCGCACACGTCCCTGCTGTTGTGTGCAGGGGGAGCATTTCCGAGAGGTGATGAAGCGGATCCAGAGCCTGCTGGACATCCAGGAGAAGGAGTTCGAAAAGGTACACGTGGTGCCTGCCTCATGATGGGCCCCCACCAGCTGGAGCTCGCTGGCCCAGCAGGGATCACAGAGTTGTGCGTCTTGTTTCTTTTTCAGTTTAAATTTGCAATTGTAATGATGGGCCGACACCAGTACATAAATGAAGATGAGTATGAAGTAAACTTGAAGGACTTTGAGCCTCAGCCTGGTAAGATCCCTCTGCCAGGACCCTGGCTCCTGGTGAGGGTTGGGAGGCAGGCAGGCGGCCTTGGGTTCAAGTCCCGGTCTCCTCGTGTTCCCATGGCTATGCAGTTGGAGGTTCCAACTTGGGGACAGGTGAGAACGATGTCTGGGTGTCCTGAGACCTTCCGTCTCTGCTGACCCAAACTGCTGCCTGTTTCGGAGCCTCTGGTGCGTCTTAACATTGCACACTCTTGCTGTGTTCTTAAAGCTCCGTTGCCATCAAGTCAGTTCAAACCCCTCCTCATCCTTAAAGGCCATTCCAGCTGCCTGCCAGTGGCTGCTGGTGCAGAACTTCTGATGGTTTAGCTGGCAGCTGAACTCTTAACCACCCTGCCCCCAGAACTGCTTGGGTGGGTGGTAGGCGTGGACTAGCAGGGCTTTAAAGAGAACGTGGGTTGAGGTGCTGGTGGCTCCATGTGTGCTCAGGTGAAAACTTCCTCAGAGCTCCTAGGGTGGGTCCCCAGTGTCCCCGGGCCCCATAACAGGGTGACTGGAGGCCCCCTCTTCAACAGCCTCTCTTCCTGCAGGTAACATGTCTCACCCCCGGCCGTGGCTCGGGCTGGACCACTTCAACAAAGCCCCCAAGAGGAGTCGCTACACCTATCTTGAAAAGGCCATTAAAATCCATAACTGACTTCCTGACCTGGTGTGCTCGAGGCCAGGGGCCGGGCGTGGGGGCGCTCCTTTTTAACGTCTGTAGAACTTGGGCCACCCAAGCGCTCTGCCCGAAGTCTTCAGCAAGAGGATTTGCTGCTGGTGTTAATTTTATTTTGTTGAGGCTGTTCAGTTTGGCTTCTTCTCTGTATCTATTGACTGCCCTTTTTGAGCAAAATGAAGGTGTTTTTATAAAGCTTGGATGCCCATGAGAGTTATTTTATGGTAACCAGAGTGAGGCGGCTGGCGAGGCGGCAGGGCGGGGCTGCGAGCCAGAGGGCTGGCTGCTGCCTTGCGTGGGTCCCCTCCTCCACCTCTGCAATGAGGCCGTCCACTGAGGGGCCTGTGGGCTCCAGGTCCTGCAGTGCACTTCCAGTGACCTCGTGTGCATCTGTAAAGGCAACACCAGAATCCACAACCTACTTAGTGGCCATTCCTCCTCCCTTCCCATGTGCACTGTTGGCCCTTCCTCGGGGCTCCCTCGTGGCGGCGTCTCGTCTGGGGCAGCCCGGGCCACAGCTCCCTACCCATCTTGAGGAGTGGACACAGAAGTCATGCTTGGCAGACAGGTTGGGAGTCTCCCTCTCCCCTGAAATCCCATCAAAAACCTTGTTCTGTAAAGTTCAGGTTGACTCCCCGCGGCTGCCTTGGGCAAAGGTCTCAGAGAGCAGGTGAAGGGCTATCACAGTGGTGGCAGGGGCATGCTCACTAGTGGTTAGTAAGCTGTTGACTTTGTTTTTAAAAAGTTAAAAAGTGACAATAAAAAGGAGGGTGAGAAGGTGGATTAACATTGTATATTTAATGAGTAGACCTGTACAAGCGACTGCTTGGAAGGGTTGCTTTTTGTCGGCTGAGTCTGCTGGCGGCACCCCCTGGGAGGAGAACTCACTGGGGTCTCTCCACCCAGCCTGCTTTCTCCCTCTGGGGGGGAAGGGAGAGGGAGTCAGCCCCGCCGGGAGTTTCAAGCCGAGTGCAGTAAAGTAGAATACGCAAATCACACCGGCGCGTGCGCGCCCCCCCCCCCCCAATTCTCCTTTCCCTCCATCCTTTCCCAGAGTTTTTTTTTTCTTTTTTTCCATAGCTGCAGTGTACACCAACTCTCCTGTATATTGCCTTTTGCTGGAACATGTTGTATGTTGAATAAAGTTTTCTATAAAAATGATAATTCAGCGAGTGCCATGGGAGTTGAGGAAGATTCTGCTGTGTGTATCTCCCCCATCCCCCGAAACAGACCTGGGCCCTTTCCGGTTCTTCAAAAGGTTTGACTAAGGTGTATCTGGTCGTCGTCCGTCACGCTCGTGCCCTGTCCCCCCCCCCCCTTCTCAGTATTGTTGATAATGTAGTAGTGGGCTTGAGTCTGAAATAAAAGGTTTTTTCAAGAGGGAGCCTTGTGCGGCTGCTGTGACTGGAGGTGTAGTGTTTGCAGATGTGGCAGGCAGGCCTAGCCAGCTCACCTGTATGGTCCGTGATTACCCACCCTCGCCCTTAGTCTGACCTCACTCACCATGTCCCAAGTGTGCCTCCATGCCCTGATAGTTGCCTGCTGACCAGGGGCTGCTGTCCTTGCACCCCATCTATCCCCCCACCCCACCATCCTCCACAGCAGCGCGGTCTGCCTTTGAGGAAGAGTCAGGTGTTGGTGGTCCGGTCTGGGTCTGTGGTGGTCTTCATATTGGCTCCGGTGTCAACGGTCTCCCTAGTGTCTATCCCCTAAGGTGTTCAGTGGCTGTTTTCACAAAGGGCTTTTTGTCATGTATTTTCCCACTAGCTGGACTGCAAGTTCATGAAATGTGATTTTTAAGAGGAGGATTTTTCAATTTAAGGAAGAAAACTGCTTTTCAAAGGGCCGACTATAACCCACAGGTGTTCCCACCTCTCCCCCTCTCTGAAAAGGATGCTCTCTGTTGACAGGGAGAAAAAAGAGCAGCCCTTCTCAACCTGTGGGTCAAGACCCATTTGGGGGTTGAGCCACCTTTTCACCGGGTTGCCTGATTCAAAACAGTAGCAAAATGACAGTTATGAAAATAATTTTGTGGTTTGGGAGTCACCACATGAACTGTAGAAAAGGGTTGTGGCATTAGGAAGGTTGAGAGCCACTGCCTTAGAGCAGTGGACACGGTCAAAAGGCGCTGGTGGTGCCTGTGGTCTGGCCGTCTCCACTTTGTGGGCAAAGAGCGTGCCCAAGGATGCTGGCTTCCCAAATGCATGTGAAGAGTTCTGTGTGAGCGCAGGCCCTGCCACCAGGGGACACCCTCCAGTTGAATGTTGTGGACATCCTTACATGAATGTGTGCTTGTTAGGGAAAATGTCATCTGTATCACCCGCCAGGGGGTGCGGCTTCAATGTGAGGCAAAAGGACATGAACCTCTGGAATGCCCCATAACCCCTTTTCAAATCGGCCCTGGGCTGAGGGAACGGAGCCTGGTCCAGGTGCCAGTTCTCAAGTGAGGTGAGGCTCCTCACACAGGTCATGGGATATTGGAGTAGGTGCTAGTGGCTGGGTTGGCCAGGAAGTTTGAAGCCACCCATCCAGGTGCAGACAAGCATATTGTGTCTCGGCAAGCAGCCCCCATTAGTGGGGTCCATACATTTTGCCACTCCTCCTTGTGGTTCAGTTTGACGGGGTTGGGACTGACGCTGGGGTTGGCAAACTGGGAAATAACCGGTTTCAGGCCTTAGCTGCGCCAGGCGGACAGCCAGCTGTTCACAAAGGAACATGACTACCCCCAATGACAGGGCCATTGGACTTGGGGGCGGGTATCTCTGGTGGTGCGGCCCCCAGGCCCCAGATCTACCTGGCCTGGTGAGGCAGCATAGACGCAAGTGGTGTGGTTTTGTTTCTTCTGGGCTGCTGTTGGGTTCCAGCCTTGGAGGGAGGGTGGTTGGAGCTGGGGGCCCAGTGAGCAGGCCCGCAGTAGGAAGGTTCCCTGCCGTGGAGCCCCGGGGACAGTGCGTCCTGTTTGCAGTGTCTGTGGCAAATGGTGCTGACACAACATCCAACATGTCCACCACTCCCCGTGGCCCTCGGCCGGTGTGGCTGGTTCCAGACCCGCCATTGGCACTGCAACACCACACGGGAGCGGGGGCTCCAGCACTGCTCCTCCTCCGGCTTGTTGTGGCCAATGGCTGCCATGTGGGATGAGAACATTGTGACATTTGTGAATGGGCCATGGCAAGGGGCCGCGTGGCTGGGTGGGAGCCACGTCAGCTAGACGCTCCGGCACCTCTGCGCCCTGCACAGCTAGGGCCATGTAACTTGTGATGTGTCACTTGCCCTGCCTGCTCTTAGATTCAGGGTGGCTGTGAAGGCGCACTGGGGAGTTCTGGTCCTTTCATAGAAAAGTCCTTCACCAGAGCTTTGAGGTCACACTGTGAGCTGGGCAGCAGCAGGCATTGCCACACCTAACTCCCTCCACAGTACCTGAGGGGGCTGCATGCCACCCGCTGGTGGGATTGACCTTGGGTGGGGGAAGGCACCAGCCTCGCCCCACCCCCAATCATTGGCCAGTGATAAGCACAGCGGGCTGTTTTGTGCTTCTCCCACTGCCCTTTGGGAGGGCACATGGCTGTTTGGGAGTGCAGACGTGGGCGCGCAGCACAGGCTAAGCCGACGGGACAGCAGGCTGCCCTGACACAGGCTGAACAGGGTCAGCTCTCCAGGTGGACTAAGCTGGCAGCACATAAAGATGCCAGGGACCCAGCCACTGCCAGCATTAACGGGACGGGACACACATGGCTGTCACACACCCTGAAATCCACCCGTGCCCCCTGCAGCAAGTGCCCGAGCCCTGGCTAGGCCCAGCACTGGTCTTGGGGGCCTCTCCCTATTTCATCCTCTGCCCTTTGTGGCTTCAGGTCCTTTCCAGGTGTACTGGGTGCTTAATGCCAGGAGCGTCGGCCTTAACCCTAAAGACCTGGGCAAGATGAGTCCTGGTTTGGTTGTAAAATGGAGGGCCTCCTGACCCTGACCGCACAGTGGTTAATTGCTGGGCAGTTAGAGGGTCTGGCTGGAACCCAACCAACCTTAGGGAGACGGACTGCCTCTGTGATGTGCAGCATTCCGTTCCGCCCACTGGGGCGCTGCCACTGAGTCACAATCGACTGTCTTGTCAGTGAGGCGCTCTGCACCCCCCACGCCCCCCCACCTCAGTGGTGGTAAGGGTCATCAAGAACCCTGGCCAAGCCCCCTGCCTTCACTGCCCTCTTTCCTAAGGGGCTTTCTCACCCTCATGCCACACCCCGAGACGAATTCTAATCCAAACACGATGGATAGACTTAAAAGTCTTGTGAAGAATAGAATTTTATCCCAATGGTGACTGAAGGCCCTGACCTCAAGGCCAGGCCACGTGTTGCCCAGAGGAGCCCTCAAGGAGCAACTGAGGCCGAGGGGAAGGATGCCACTGGGCAGCCTTTGCAGGACTAGGCCAGCTGACTGTACCAGGTGGACTGCCCTGGGCCCTGTGGCCTGTGTGTCTCTGGGCTGGCTGTCTTCATGGAGACTGAGGACAGGTTCAGATGAGCGTAATAAGGGCCATGGAAACCAACCCAGCATGAGGCGGAAGAGAGTTGTGGGAAATGTGGAACCGGTGCCACTGAGAGCCCTGGTGGTGTAGTCGTTACATGTTGGGCTGCGAACCGCAAGGCCAGCAGTTTGAAACCACCAGCCGCTACTCCAGGTAAAGGCAAAGTTTTCTACTCCTGTAGAGTTAAGCCTTGGGAACCCACAGGGGCAGTTCTACCCTGTGGTATAGGCTGGCTCTGAGTCAGAACGACTCAGTGTTGCCTATCACAGAACAATTTGGGTGGGAAGTGTCAAACCGAAGCCTGATGTATCAGCTCACATACACCGTGGGGTACTAGTTGCCCTAGCCCTCGAGACAAGTGGCACGGTGGGGTTTGTGGGGCCCTGGGGCATCCGTGTTGCTGGCGCTGCAGGAGACCTGAGGAGCATTATGGCAAGGGTGGGGCTGGACCTATAGGGGAGGGGCCCAAGGCTGAGGCGAGTGGGTGGTCAGTGCTGCAGAGAACCCAGGGTTTTGGAGCAAAAGTTATCCACTATATTCAGCCTTGGGAAAGACAGTGGGCACCCAGATGTTTGTCTAGCCAGGTGGGAGCTGGCTGGGCTGAGGGAGTAAAAAGGGAGGGCAGAGTCCCCTTTCAGCAAGATAGTTTTTGTAAAAGGGCTTCAGCCCATGTGAGGGGTGGTCATTATCGGCTAAGAGTCTAAGGAAACAAGATGGTGTCTAAAGAGAGGTTAGACCACTTTTCATGTAGTCAGCCACATCCAACCAACCCTTCACTCCTGGGCCCCTCACAACCAAATACCAATCGTGGCTCCCTCAGCCAATCACATCCAACCTCTCCCTCTTGATTCCCTCACTCAACCAGTCATTCAGACTCAATCTTAACCTCCAATGAGCCAAATCATTCATTCCTTTGATTTATTCAAGTCATCATTTCATCAGCTCAGCCAATCATTCCCTCTAACTCATTTGATTCATTCATCAACCAAGTCAACCCTTCTGCCATTCGTTTGATCATTTGATTCAATCTACCAATCATTCATGTCATTCAGCCGAGCATGCATTCATTCATTCATTCAACCACTCGACGACTACTAACCGAGCACCTAGTCTTCCAGGCACCCTTATGAGGAAGAGACGGGCCTTCCACTCCATGGAGGCACGCATGTCGGAGGGCGCTTCCAGGACTGGACAAGGAGACATGGAGCCGGAGAGGATGGGGGCTGACAGGTCCTTTATTGTGGAAGCTCACAGTCGCCGGAAGTAGTAGAGCTCGTGGCGGCACACAGGGCAGGAGTGCCGCACGTCCATCAGGCTGTCGATGCAGAACGGGATGAGGCAGCAGCCTATAACGCACCTGCGGCCGCAGCCAGGAGCTGGGTGTGAGATCCCCGCCTGGCTCCACCGACAGTTGGCCTCTGGGGGCGGGGCCTGGTACCCACATTAGCACCTGGGGATGGGGCCTGGACGCCTGTATTTTCACAGCTCCGCCCTCGGCCACTGACAAGCCCATGGACCATTGCACCTGTGACCACTCAAGTGCCGTGGGCTGTCCCAAGTGACCCGTCCCTGCCCCTGTGGCTAGGACACAAGCTCAGAGTGCCCGAGGCACTTCCACACGGGGAAGCAACCAACCTTGGAACCGGCTCATTCTGCATCCCATCACCCCTGGGTCCCCTGGGAGGATCTGCCCCTGTCCACTCGTGTGCTGCTCCCAGCCCATCTACACCCCTTCCTTACCCCCACTCACCCAAACAGGAAGAGGCCCGTGCACATTAACCAGGTGATGATGCCAGGGACGTAGCTAGTGACGGTGATGATGTTGTTCCCGCAGTATGGACACGTCGTTTTTATTGGAATGTTGGAAACCCTCCTAGGGAAACTGGTGACAAATACTAAGGGAGGAGAGGGTCAGACTCAGCGTCCCTCTCACGCCCCATGCCCATCACCTGCCATGTGTCCCAAGGCTGGATACCACCTGAAGGTTTGAGGGGCTTGCCTAAGCACTCAAGGAAATCCAGGTTGCCCCATGGCCCCAGAGCAGCCTCGCTTCCTGCTGCCACCTACCAACTTTCAGGCAACACCCCGGTCCTCCCCAGGCCCCAGGCACGAAGAGGGATCCAGGCAGCCTGGAGACTCCTAATAGGAATGTGAACACACGTTCGGGATTCTGTGAGCTGCCCCAAATAGCATGTCCATAAGGCCCCGGTCATCCTGGCCTTCAGCAGCTCCTGTGTAATCCCTGCCGCTGAGCTGCCCCTCCGAATCAGCACCGACGCCTGGTGACCCCGGGTGTGTCCTGATCTGTGCTGTGCGTGTGCTCCAGCGGCGTGTGCCGAGGCTGATTTTCTTTGGAAGTCAGTTGTCAGGCCTTTCTTCTGAGCTACCTCTGGGTAGACTTGAACTGCCAACCTTTGGGTGGCCAGCCGAGCTTTGCAAATTGTTTACAGCACCCAGGGACTCCCTCCCTGAAGATAAGGAGCCCTGACTGGTGACCGTGGGGAAGGGCTTGTGCGACAGAAAAACAAAACCGCCTCCACTCTCCATCTTCATGGATCCTGCAGGGTCCCCCAGCCGGCCAGCTCCCAGCGTCAGAGTCGTGAGAATTCCTCAGGATGTCTGTTTCAAATCCAAGACCACGGCCTGAGAGAGCCAACAGATCTGTACGACCAGAGGGCCCCTTAGAGGCAAGGATGGTGAGCCTTGGCCTTGTGTACTCCGGCGATTTGTCGGGAGAGCTCAGTCCCTGGAGAAGGACATCATGGTTGGGAAAGCGGAGGGGCGCTGAAAGAGGAAGGCCCTCCCTCGACAAGATGGATTGGCCCAGTTGGCTGCATCTATAGGATTTTACGGAAACCCTTGTGAGGATGACCCAGGACCGGGCAGTGACGGCCCCTGACAACACCCAGGGTTGGTCCTGGGGATCTGCATCTCCATCGTCTCTGGCGTGGGTGTCTCTGAAGGATGGGGCGCAGTCTCCAGCCCCCACACCACCGGGGCTCCTCCTGCGAGCCCAGAGCAACCACTTCGGTCCCCTCAGGGTGGTCTCTGGCCATTCCAGATCCACGGGGCCTTCAGGAAGTTGGTGAAAAATGGAAGAGAAAATAGATTTTTCCACAAACGTCTTGAAGCCTTGGAGGCATGAAATATGTGCCTGCAGTGTCTGGCTTTTTTTTTCCCCACTCACCGTAATGTTTTCAGAGCCCATTAACATTGTTTCGGGCTGGCTGCAAGGTTGAGCCCAGCCAGAGCACTGACCTAAGAAACCATGGAGAACTCTTCCAGAGGCCAGTGACTGGCTTGATGGAGGCGGTCTGTGGCATCACGCAGCAGCGAAAGTACCAGTTGTGCAGGTCTGCGAGCCGCGGGGTCGGCGGTGGGCACTGGGGAGAAGACCGACTTTCTACCCCGTCACCAGTGAGAGTCGGGAACCACAGGGGCGCTCTGAGCCAGCACGGACTCCATGGCGGTGAGTTTGGTTAGGTTTGCTGTTGAAATGGAAACTGTGCCATCCTTGACCCTAGATGGAAGGGCTGAGAGTGTGACTGCTTTATTGCAAATGAAGCCAAACTTTTTAGAATTTGGTTAAATCCTGTTCTTGTTAGGTCATTAAAAGTAAATAAATAAAAGCTGGAAGTTCAAAGACCAACTAACAAGCAAAAGACTTGACTCCATCCCGGTCTCCCTGGTGTGGGTGTGGCTGGCCACATGTCACCCACCCCGCCCCCTGGGTGAGGAGGGACAAGGGCACTAGAGGTCAGAAATGAAGCCGGTGAGTAGCCCAAGACCATCCAGATGAAACGGGCGGGGCTCATTCTGAGGGAGCCAAGGCCTGACTCAACATCAACATCCCCTCACCCACCCAGCCACCCTCCGGGCACCATCTGCCAAGGAGCTTCCATAGCTCCCCCAAGGTCACAGCAACATGACCAGGCGGATTAAGGCCAGGACTCAACCCCCACCCCACCCCCTCGGCTTCCCTGGAAGGAGCGGCTCAGAAGGGGCTGTGAGGATGGGGCGGGGGGGACTCGGTCACTGAAGAGAGGATGGCCCGGGACATTGCCATCCAGCTACCCTGTATTCCTCTTCCTGCACCGCATAATCTCCAAGTTGGGGCCCCAGTGGGACCCTGTAGGTGTTGAGAGGTCACAGGGGGGTGGGACTGGAGTGGGCCCCTAGTACAGTTTGAGGACCCGCTCCTGTGTCCCGTGGGCCCTATTGCTAATTAGTTCCCTTTGGCCCCTCCCAGCTCACCCTGGGGTTGGTGCCATCTTGATGCCATGTTCCAGCAGTGGCCTGGCCTCTGGGCAGCTCCCAACAACAGAAATCTCCTACCCTGAGATGGAGGGGCCCATGGGACAGGAGTGAGGGCCCCGCCTCCTGCTTGCTGGGGGCTCAGGTAGGAGCACCATTGTGATGTGTCCCCACTTCTCTGCAGGAGGGCAGGGATGGAGAGGGTGCTCGCCTGGGGGTGGGGGATGGCCAGGACCCGAGCTTGAGCACATCCCACCACATGCCACCTGGCACCATCACACCACTACCCACATTTCGGGGATGGCAGGTGGGGTGAGCACAGGCCTTCCAAATAGGCATGGACTTCCCAAGGCTAGCTCCCTCTTTTAGGAATCTTTCCTGAATATCTCATCTGTAGAGCGCCCTGGGGTCCAGCAGCAGCAGCATCCTCACCTTCTATGCAGTGGGGGACCGGCTTTCCATGCCCAGCCGCTGCACCACCTTCATGTGTGGGCACTGCTCTGATGCTGGCCAGGTACCAGTGGAACTTCCAGACGAGGGTAGACTAGGAAGAAAGGGCTGGCGACTGAATTCTGAACATCAGACCTACCACCCACCCCACCCCCGAAAAAGGTGAAGGGGAAATAGGGAAATACACGTGGATTAAACCCCTGGAGAATGCTCTCTGACCATGGACCAGGGATGTGGGCAGCCTGGCCATCCTGCACAGCGCTTTGGAAAGGAGATGCTGTGGGGTTAAAATTTGGCACCTTATCATTTGATCTCCCTTGACCTATTTTAAATTTGTTCTAGGTTTTAATATTTCCTGCTTTCTTTTGGATTGAGGGGTTTTTGTTTGTTCGTTTTACTTTGTTAATTGTTGTTACTTTTAAAAATGTCTTTCTCTATATGAAACCCAGGATAGATAAATCTATAAAGACAAAAAACTGGATTAACGTTTCCTTGAGGGTATGGGTGGGGAGGTTGGGGCGTGGGGTGGGGTTGGGGGGAGAGCTAATAACAGTGAATACAAGGAAGCAGAAAATATTTTAGAATTGTGGTTTGATTGTGCAGCTCTTCTTAAGACGATTGAGCTATTGAATTGTATGATTTATGAATTATCTGCCGATAAAACTGTTAAACTTTTTTTTTTAAGAAAAGAAAATTAGCCAACAGAAACCGTATGGATCCAGGCTGGCCTACAACCAGTCGTGAGGATGGCATTGGCTTGAGCTCACCACAAGGTAAGAGGTCAGTGTCGGGGAGCCAGCCCCTAACAAATCATCACAGGTCCGGTAGGCACAACTGGACAGCGATAATAAGTAAAGATCATAGTAAAGTCATGGAGAATAAGAGATAGGAGGGAGTAAGATGAAGGAGTCAGACACATTTCATGGCAGCATGCTCACCTCAGCCCCTCTTGGTGGTCCACGTGGAGATGGGACACGCGAGGGTGGGAGAGAGCAGGAGAGAGCGATTCATTGCTAACCAAGGCTTATATATCTTTGGGGGTGTGCATGCCTCCTAAATACAGGTAAAGACATACGGCACAGGAAGGGGTTGGACAACAGGCAGTACAATAAGCAATAGGAGGGGGATATACAATGGGCATAAGTATAACGGAAAGGAGATGAGCTAGGGGCATACACATGATAGGAAGGGGAGGGCCTAGGGGTATACATGTGATAAGAAGGACTGACCCTAGATTCATGATGGCGGCCTAACCATGGTCACCTTTGAGTGGGCATGACCTCCCTGGGCTCTGCTTCGAGGAAACAATCTACTATCCTTATCAGAAGGGAGTGAGCCCTATTTTGGGTGGGACAGATGATACAGTCTGATTGCTCCAGAGGGCTGATAGTCCTCAGGGAGAATAACCTCTGACCTACTTTCGTTGACCTCCATGTAGTCATTTGCCATGCGTAGCAAGTAGCTTAGTTTGGCATATATTTGGGGGAGACAACTTGGGAGAAATCTTTGTTTCCCACAGGTCAGCATGAAGCCAGCTAACAACCAGGACCAAGGTTGTGTAGAGGTTGGGTTAGACTGGGTTGACAGAGGAACAGTTCCAGTGACATTCACATGTGTAAGAAAGAGATTCACATATCAAGAAAGGAGCCCAGCCTGGCCCAACTCAAGACCTTAAGTCATATACTAGTCCATCAGTCCCTCTTCAGACTCACACAGCCACATGTCATGATGCAGCTTGTGGGAAGATCACAGATGTGCAATGTCGTGTGGCTCTGAGGTTGGTGGGAAACCTGGCAGGGCACTGGCACCTCTCCTGGTGGCCGGCAAGCAGGCAGGTGAAGGCAGAGAGAAGCTGGCTTCCAGAGAGGGAGCTCTCGCGGTCACACCTCCAAGTTAATCTCCACCCCCAAGCTTGTATCTGTGCTCATGTTGACGTGGAATTATGTAACCACCACAGAGGTGTAGCCACGAGGATTCCCATCAGCCTCTGACTTGGGAATATTCATAGACCCAGTGAATATCTAAGAGCACTGTCTTGTACTCATGTGACACCTGGTTATGGGTCAGCCTTTCCAACAGAACAAGGGAGGACTGCGTGAGTGAAAATCAGGAAAGGTGCATGTCAGGGTTGTGTCCTTTCTTCATACTTACTCAATATGTTGAGCAAACAAACCAAGAAGCTGGACTTCCTGGGGAAGGATGTGGCCCCAGGATTGGAAGAAGACTTTTTAACAACCTGGGATGTGTGGCTGATAGAACCTCGCTTGCTGGAAGCCAAGAGGACTTGAAGGAGAGCGAAGACTACAGCCTTCAGAGAGGGTTACCCCTCAGCAGAAAGGAAGCCCAAATCCTCATAACTGGACCAAGAGACAGCATCGTTCGTGGTAGCCATTTGTGGTAGTTACAGAATCTGTTGTCAACTTGAGACTATTAAGAGTAAAGGGGTGGAGTTTAGCCTGTCAATCAGGTCGCAGCTTGGTGACCTCCTTTGGAGGTGCTAAGGAGAGAAATACTCACTGGAGGAAGGACACTCACTCACTCCGAGAGAGATTCCTGCTGACAAGCCACATGGAGCTATGCTGATGGCAGCCAGAGCCTTGGAGCTGGAGGAGTCAGGTAGAGAGCCACGCCAGCGCTGAGGTGCTTCCACCACCACTGGATCCACAAGACTTTCCACCCACTGGCCTGTCTGATCTTTCTGCACTCGGCATCATTGCATGTGTTGTTGCAGAATTTACAGATTGGTTCTGGACATATGGGCTAATATCAGACTTATGGACTTGATCTGGACCGGGCTGGGATGTTTTCTTAATGTACACTTTACTCTTTACATAAAGCTCTTTCCTCTACACATAGGAGTGTCTATGAATTTGTTTCTCTAGTTTACCCAGACTAACACACCCTTCTTGATGATAGTGGGCCCCTGAACCTCTGTGGGTTAGTAGTTCTTATACCTGTCTACTCCTTGTCAATTTCAGGGCATGGTCCTCTCAGCAGGACCAAGAGCTGACCAATCTCCTCAGTGATCATACGGTGCTCAATTTTCATAGCCCCAGTCAGTCATTGTGTGGGAGTTCAGAGACCATGGGCAGGCAGATCATATGAAAGCAATTCCGTGTGCGGCGTGTGGTGTACGTTTGGAGTACCTGTTCTCAATTCCTTTATTTCCTGTTATTTCTTTTTTACTATTTTATTCTCGCCTGTCTGTCCAGAACCTAGAGCAGTGACTGGCACCCACAGTTCTGGTTCCGTATCCATGGAATGGATAAATGAATTGCTTGTGCAATATTGGTGGGTCTAGTATTAGGGGCCCAAGGATAAATATTTAGGAAATAATCTTACTGCCAACTGCTCTGAAAAAGCACAGCAAGAGGTCCTGGATAGAGTGGGAGAAAAACGCAGGCCAGAGCTCAGAATCGTACCAGAGACCAAGCTTACTGGTGGGACAGGCTGGGGGAACTCTCACACCCGCCTCCAAGGATGGCCCCTAGTGAGGTCAGGAAGCAGACTCATGCTGGTGTTAGATCGAGTGGGGGGGCGGGGGGGCGGCTTCCCAAGGACAAAGTCTAGAGGGTCAGGGAAGCGGAGGAAGGAGGACAGGGACCCAGAAGTGGGATAAGCCGGGGATGCGGAGGGGATAGACGGGGTGGGTTGGAGCAGAGTATGTATGAATGGACTGCTGAGTGTAGAACCACGGTCTGCTCTACCACGATCCGCCACATTCGTAATAAAGGTTTCTTCAAAAATCATGTTATAGTGTCTTATTTATTTTGAGAGTTATTTGTACACAAGCACGACGGGACTAAACAGGCCCGGCATCACTCAGAGCTGACCGCCTGTTGGAACTAGCTCTGAGCCGGGGAGCGGTGTGACCCCTAAGCCAGCAAGGCTCACATGGCTGCTCCCTCCTTTGGCCCAGGTGGTGGTCTTGGCCTGTCATGGTCCCGCATCCCCTTCAGCCTGTGTCTTCTTCTTGGAAGTCGAGTCCCCCAGTGCCATGTGTAAGTGGGTCACTGAGAAGCCCACCCATTGAGACCCTTCCCCACCAGCTGCCTCGGCCACAGCTGATGCTCCTGAGCCACCTGCCCCCACCAGCCAGCTCGGAGGACTTCTAGGTGGTGTGTCCCTCCTTTGTCCCCCAATGCCTGATCAGTGCCCCCTCCTCTTCTCCCTCTCCTGTCTCTGATGGAGGCTCCTCCCCCTGCCCCCCAACTCTGGAAGGATTGGTGTCTGAGACTTGGCCCTTGTCTCTCTGCCTCTGGAGACATGCGGGTCAGGACTTTGCCTGCTGGGGCCCAGGGGACAGCTCAGTCGCAGGGATGCAGGAGTGAGCAGAGGAATGGGTGAACGCCAAATGGGTAAATTCATTGGGAGAGAATGGGGAGCTAATAACGAGTACAAGAAGAAAATGTTCTAAAACCAATGGTGGCAATGATTGTTCAGCACTTCTTAATATGATTGAACTACTGAATTGTGTGATGTGTGCGTTACATGCCAATAAAAAGAATGAATGAATGAAGAACAAAGGACCCCATTCCTCACAGCCCACCCCATGGAGCCTAGAACCCAATGCCACCCCTTAGGGCCCAGCGTCCTTCTATAGATTTTGGGTGGGGATGGGACTGCCTCTATCAGGGTAGGGGTGGGCCTACCTGTCTGAACTCTGCAGGTAAATGAATGAACTAGCGTGGAGAGCCCTTGCTCCCGCTCCGACCATCCCACACATGGCCACCAGGGGGTAGCACTAAGCTGCCATGAGTCAGCTCCCTCCCTGTAGGACACCAAGCTTTGCTGGGCAGAGACCCAAGGCCTTTTAGGGCATTCTGGTGCCCCTCACCTGGCCTGCCCTGGGGTGTGGACTCCACTGCTACCTCATCATCCACAGGCCCAGCTGGATGGAAGGAACAGGGTCCCATGGAGGAGCTACAGGGACCAGCCACCCTGGGGCCTCTTCTTTGAGAATCAGTTGTCTTGTCTTAGCTGTCCCACAGCCCCAACATAAAGCCTGGTCCGGCAGTGGCCCCGGCAAGGGGCTTAAAGTTTGGACTCTGACCTTCCCTGGTGGTTTGACCTGGGCAGACGTCACCCCCATGAGCCTCGGTTCCCTCCTCTGTGAAATGAGTTACCCGGATAGCCCTACTGCTAGGTGTCTTGTGAAAACTGGACCCTTCGCCCGCCTTCTTTCTTTCTATTCCTCTGCTCCATCCTGCCCCAGGGCCTTTGCGTGTGCTGTTCCAGCCACCACCCCTCCCTGCAATGCTGCCCCGCCCTGCCCTCCCTCCCTTGCTTCATCTTCAAATGCTCTGCTCACCAGCTGCCCCTCCAGAACCTCAGTCAAGTTTTACAGGTCAGCTAGTCATTGTCACTCCCGGATGTCGGCTCCTGGGGCAGCGCCCTTGTCCATCCGCTTGGTGCATGACCGCCGCCTCAGCATCTAACACAGAGCCTGGCACCTGGTTAAAGAACACAAACCTGAACTATTTACAGACTAGTTTTGTCAGTTTTTTTGTTGCTGTTGTTTTGTTTTGTTCTTTCTTTTGCTCTCTCTTGTTTTTTTGTGCATATTATTATCTCTGCATGTCTATCTAGAGAGGATAGGCAGGATGAACAATCTGGAGGAGAAAACAACGACTAACCGTTCCTGAGGGACATGGGAGAGCGGGGGACGGGAAGAAGTGTGTAAACAAACCAGGGACAAGGGAACAACAAGTGATCCAAAATTGATGGTGAGGAGGGTGTAGGAGGCCTGCTAGGGCATGATCAAGGGCAAAGTAATTGAGAGCAATTACTGAAATGCAAATGAAGGCTGCACATGATAGTGGGACAAGAGGAAAGTAAAAGGAAATAGAGGAAGGAACTAGGAGGCAAAGGGCATGTATAGAGGTCTAAATACAGGCATGTACATATGTAAATATATTTATAAACGATCATGGGGAAATAGACTTATGTGCATATATTTATAGGTTTA